GGAGAGACACTGATCTGACTCTGCTGCAGCTACAAAGTTACAATGTTGCATTCTGATCACTGGTGGAGGGGAGACTGAGCAAATGTTTCCTCCTGCCTGCAGCAGAGTGATGACATCATCTCATTCTAGGCAATGTCACTGATTGGAGCTCAATGATGGCTTTGTAATGATAGAAGGCGGAGCTTTTCTAAACAATGATCCTGTTGCTGTATATTGTGACATGTCCGGGATTTATTAAAGGAGGACTATGAGGGGGGGGTGCTTTTCACTCATCTCATAGTTCTAGCCGACCTGTGACAATGAGACTGCTCAGTAGATCGGGAGGTGAGAAAACACATACCGGCGTTCGCTCACTTCTCAATCCTGTCACGGCTCTCTGGCGCGACAGTGGAGGGACTGGATTCCCCCCTCCCCGCTCCGATCCTCCGGCGCTGACTGGCGGAACAGACGGGGGCGGGTACAGCTGGCTGTCTCTAGATAGGCGGAGCCAGCTGTCACTCACGCAGCTGGGCGGACCCAGACATAATTGTCGGGATCCGCTTCAGCTCCGGCGTCTCAGTATACCGCGAGCTGTAGCTCCCTATATACTGAGCTTAGGGTGACGGGAGGACGCTAGTTTGTGTCCTCCCGTTACCCTAAGGAGAACTATGGGGAAAAGCCCTGACCACATAGTTCTCCTTTAATGACAGGCCCCCTTTTTTTGTTCATGGATCGGTGGCGCCCCCTGGTGTTGGTGGGAACGCTGTGCGCGGCGCTCGCCATACGCAGAGTCAATTGAGAGCCGCAGTCAGGAAGCAGGCTGAGATGAAGTGAAAATATGCACATTATTTATTAACTGATTCTTTGTAATAAACCATTTGAAAATATTTTACAAGTAATCACACACACACGATATCTTACAAACTTTCTGTCACTTGTTGAACTTTTCTGTACAAATAAATAAGTAAATAAATAAACTTTTGCTCCAGTTAACGGAAAAAAGCCACTAACTTATGGAGAGAAATTTCAGCAGCGATGACCCTCGAGCCTCCAAGAGATATTTATAGATATTTATATTTATTTATACGTATTTATATCTTTATTTCTGGATTTTATTTTTTCATTTTTTTTTTTTTCATTCTTTTTTTTTTTTTTTTTTCGTACAGACGACTGCGCACACACACACACACACAATCCCACCCCCTCGTAGCACAGTCACGACGTTCCCCAAACAAGGCCCAAAAAACACACACACACGCGCGCAAAAAGCTACAAGCAAAAATGACCATTAAAAAGGGGTTCGTTTATGGTTTCCGATTCGCGACCGCACCCTCCCCCATCCCAAGTAGAGGGCAACCTC